TACTATATATATATATATATAGAGAGAGAGAGAGAGAGAGAATAAACATCAAATATAAAGAACAAAGAACAGGAAAAAGAGAATAGAAGACTATTTAAATAAACCCATACATATTTGGCAGAAAATTATAGGAAGAAGAAATATGACTCTTGGCTATTTCCAAACATAAATCCAAGCATTAAAAGATAAAGACTAGGATGTTGAATAGAATACTCTATGTGATTTTTAATCTTCATGAGGACTTATATTTAAAATAAGCAATAATGGCCCTGAGAGGGAGGGTATATCTCAGTGGTAGAGTGCCTGCTTAGCCTGCACAAGGTCCTGGGTTCAATCCCCAGTACCTTCATTAAAATAAATAAATAAACCTACTTACTTCCCCCCAATAAATAAATAAATTAAATTTTTTTTTAAAAGAAGGTCTTTAAAAAAATAATAATGGTCCTAAGTACTTAGATTTCTAATGTGACATTGTTACAGAGGAAAAAAGCCTTCAGATATAACTTATACTCTGTTAACAAACCCATCTTAATATAGTCTAATAGCATAAATATCTGTGATAGATATGAGTATATGCACGGCCTATATCGTATAAATTGCCAGCGCAGAATTCAGAAGGAAACAGTGAATCTCACAGCTAGCCTGGGATGTGGAGGACAAGACTCCACCAAAGGGCAAGGCAGGACAGGTACTTTACTTGGAGGTAAAAGGTCCAGGAGCTGACTAGTCTCCATCTGTTTTATGAAAATATCTTGATTTGTTTTCAGGGTGCATCTGACAAGATCTAGATGACCACCAGGAACTTCTGTTCCCACCAAATTACTGGATCTTAACCTTACTAAGAACAGGTAATCATATTACCCTTAAACTCAGTGAGTTCAGTTTGGTTATTTTAGACATCCTCTAAATCCCAAACTCTGCTTATTGTCTTACCTTGATTGTAACTCTGCTGATGCTCAGATATCTTGGTAAAGAGCTTCTTTAAATGACATCTTTAACAGGTCAAACTCAGTTAAACTCAGCCAAGGATTGTGAAATTTAGGGACTGTATAAAGACACTGAAGAAGGGAGTAAGAAAAAGCAGACTACAGGATCAGGAAAGAAGTCTTGAGGAATGCCTACATTTAAATGTTAGAAAGAGTTAAAAAAAATTAAAAAGTTGAATTAGATAAGGATAAAAGAAGCAGAAGGGTAACAGAAGTTAAGGAATAGTGTGATTAAAAGAATGGAAAGATAGAGTGTAGAATGTACCATTCCATGACTTAGTAGAACGGCACTAGAGAGTGTAACATAGAGAATATCTCATTGTGATCAATGCTTTCTCTCTCTATATACAATCTGTTTGAGAGAAAAAGTTACACTTGACCTAATATCAAATTTTGGGAAAAAATACTTAACAGTTAAATTGTAAGTTAAATCTGAGTGTAAAATAACAAAACAAAACAAAAACCCAGCATATTAGAACAAATATGTTGAGTGAATAAAGGAAAGAAAGTTGAACAGGAAAGGTGGAATCGGATTATGGAGGGTCTCTGAAGACTGCAGGATGAGATAAAGGCCTACGTCACTTTACATCTTTCAATCCAGTGGATCTATCCATAAATTCTGTCCAGGTTAGCTCATAAAAACTAGCCATAAAAAAATGGAAGTAATGTTTGTTAACTTCTCAAATTCCTCCAGATTTTTTTTCAGCCAACTTGCATTTGCCTTTCCCCACCATTGCCTTCAGTAAGAAACTTTTTTATTTTTGAGTTATACTCAGTTCACAATGTTGTGTCAATTCCTGGTATACAGCACAATTTTTCAGTTATATATGAATATACATATATTGATTTGCTTATTCTTTTTCACCATGAACTACTGCAAGATCTTGAACGTATTTCCCTGTGCTATACAGTATAAACTTGTTTATCTATTCTATATATACCTGTCAGTATGTACAAATCTCGAACTCCCAGTCTGTCCCTTCCCACCTACCTGTCCCTGGCAACCACAAGTTTGTATTCTATGTCTGTGAATCTGTTTCTGTTTAATATTTAAGTTCATTTGTCTTCTTCTTTTTTTAGATTCCACATATGAGTGATATCATATGGTATTTTTCTTTCTCTTTCTGGCTTACTTCACTTAGAATGACATTCTCCAGGGACATCCATGTTGCTGCAAATGGCGTTATGTTGTCATTTTTTATGGCTGAGCAGTATCCCATTGTATAAATATACCACATCTTCTTTATCCAGTCACCTGTCGATGGACATTTAGGTTGTTTCCATGACTTGGCTATCGTAAACAGTGCTTCTATGGATATTGGGGTGCAGGTGTATTTTTGAATTAGGATTCCTTCTGGCTATATGCCCAGGAGTGGAATTGCTGGGTCATATGGTAAGTTTACTTTTAGTCTTTTCAGGAATCTCCATACTGTTTTCCACAATGGCTGAAGTAAGAAACTGTTTATCCAATCTTTTTAACGCTAAAGAAATCTTCCAAGCCAGATTATCTCAAGTCCCCTCAGAGAGAGGAATGGGAAATATATGGCTCAGAAAATTAGGATCCATAAAGGTATCTGAGCAAGTAGGTGATGCAAGGGAATAAATAGGTAAGAGGAGAGAAATGGGCTGAGAGTTTGGAATCAGGGAATTCAGCTACTATTAGCAGTAAAAAATAAAAAGCATGATGTGATTATCAGTTTGATTAGTGATGAGGCAATGAGAATGAAAAGGAAATGGCGAATTTGAAAGATATTTTAATAAATGACTCAGAGTTTGGACTTCACTATTCAGCTTTCTACTCTCAGCTATTTTGCCTTGCCCTCCCACATAATTTCATAAATGTTGCTTTTTGCAGAGATTTTGTTTTAAAAGAACAGCTGAAAGAACAAAACAAAGAAAAAAATTCCAAGGGAAGAATAGTTTGTTCTCCTTATACATTCAGCCATTTTATTTTCATGTAGGTCTTGATTCTCTCTTAAACATATATACTCAAAAAAAAAAGTTGTCTTCTACTTTAGTCTCATTTTCAAATCCCAGGTCAGTAATTTGAATCAATTTTATTAAATAAAAATTCTATTTAATTTACCACCCAAAAGGGAATAATTGGGCTTACTAGTGGGAGGAACTATATGTGCTTTAGTGCATAAAATATAATCCTACATCAGCCAGATGAAAGTTTATGTTATTCTAAATGTATACAAGTTCCAGAACTAAGTAATGGGACTTCCTGTTTAGTAGGAGTCATATTTGTCCTCTGTTTGGATTTTTTCCTTATTTTATGGGTCTCTGACTCTGATGTTAAAGGTGTGAGATATATATGTATATATCTATCTCTATATATATACATATATAACTTTATTATATATATATTATTTAAAGGTGTAAGAAAGCTCAGGTATAACACATCCACTTGCTTTTTTTCTAGGACTAAACTTTATTGTTGTTTTTTGTTTTTGCTTTTGGTTTTTTTTTTTTTAATGAAGCAGAGAATTCCTCAGTTTACTAGATCTTTGTCTTCTTTTTCATAAACAGAACCCAGGATGACTTCTCCTACTAAAGAACAAAGTGATCCAGCTGACAATGCTCTCAAAATTTTAGAAAATGAGGCTCCAAACAACTGTAGTACAGATATAGAGCCTTCATTTGCTGATTCTAGTATGATCTCTCATGTGGAAAGCCACCCAACGAACAGGGAGCTGGACACACCAAGCTGCCAGGAGCATGCTGTTCCTCAAGCAGCAGAAAACAATAAACTTGCAGTTGAGAAGCTCCAAAAAGATTCTCAAAAAGAAGGTTTAAAAAGAGGGTTCCTTCTAATTCAGATTCCCATTTCTACAAAGTGGATCTTTCTCATGTCAGGATTAGGAAGAATTACCTATCTGGGTATCCCACCAGTAAAAATTGATAAAAACAATCCCTTAACTAAGAGAGCAAGATTCAACTCAAGAAAAGTTGAGCTGAAAACAAGTGATTTCTATCATAACGCCATAAATTACAAACTTTCTTTCCAATTCTAAATTTCATGGAGAATCTCATTCATCAACAACCATGAGATAAGAAGAGTGGCCCTCCATCTGCTGTGTAGGAGACATTTCTGTTGGGCTGCAGGTCATCAAAATACCACGTGGGTGAAGCCAAAATATATAGCATTTCTTCCTCATCCAAATGTCCTCACTCACAGGGAGAGAAGCACAATATTTGGAAGACCTTTGAATTCGTATTACTACTGTCCCCTCATTGAGAGTCTGACATCAAGAAAATTTTCCAAATCAACAGATACTAAAGGAAAGGATGGATTCCACATTTTAGTGAGGCCTGTGTTTTATATCCCACAGGCCCAAATTCAAAACACATTTCATCGAAAAGCACTTGGGGTCTCACTACAACACGAGAGCTGTGATTATAAGCACCAATAACAATTGGAAATATCGATGTCCCATTTGCCGAAGTAGTTTTAACAATTTGGTTGAATTTAGAGAGCATTCCTACCGCTTTCCTAGGAATTAGGTTCTATCAGGGTAAATGGGCAAATTCATTTTAAAATTTAATTTCTAAAAAATGTCTAAATAATTTGGCTACTCAATTGAGACAAAATAGCTTGAACATAAATTTTTTAGCATTAGATGGAGTTGCAGAAAGGAACACAAAACAGGACATATCAAAAAGAATCACCATTTCTTTTTCTGAGTAGAGAGGAAGCATTTCTAAGGAATCCTCTGTTTATACAGTGCTATTACAAACAGATCATCAAAATACCATGCCCTGGATCTGTACTGAGTCAGCAATTAATCTAGTAAAATCTGTGCACTTTCTTAACAGCCATTTCTGCAGAAAGAAATATTGTTATAATTATCAGATTCCAAGTTCACAGGAGTCTGACAAGAGCAAACATATATTGGAGGGCTGACAAAATCCTACCAGGTGTTTCTAGAGACTGCTAAATTTGAGATCTGAAATGTCCTCCACAAATTCAATAAAAATAATTGCATTGAAAGTTGCATTGTATGCCTACTAGATAAAAATACCTGTGACTAGAAAAAGAAGTTCAAGAATTATAAACATGTGGTATTGAAATAATTTTGATGATTTAAAATATACGTTAAACTAATTAAAAGAAAATGTGGTAGAAAATGAAATAATTTGATAGAAGTGAACCAATATTAGACTGGTAGCATACAACTGTAATCATTTTTTGTGGGTAGCTTCTTCATCATTGTCTATGATCACCACTCACATTTTACATTCCATCCATATATATACTTTGGGGGTATACCTTGGAGAAATTGTAGGTTCAATTCCAGAGTACTGCAGTAAAATGAATATCACAATAAAGTGAGCCACACAAAGTTTGGGTTTCCCAGTGCTTATAAAGATTTTGTGTACACTATACTGTAGTCTATTAAGTGTGCATTAGCATTGTATAAAAAAACAGTTTACATACATTAATTTTAAAAATATTTCATCGCTAAAAAAAAGGCTAACCATTATCTGAGCCTTCAGTGGGTCAATCTTTTTGATGATGGAGAGTCTTGCCTTGATATTGATGGCTGCTGACTGATCAGGATGATGGTTGCTAAAGGTTGGGGTGGCTGTGGCAATTTCTTAAAATAACACAACAGTGAAATTTGCTACATTGACAGGCTTCCTTTCACAAATGATTTCTCTGTAGCATGTAATGTTGTTTGATAGTATTTTACCTACAGTAGAACTTCATTCAAAATTGGAGTCAATTATCTCAAATCCTGCCACTCCTTTATCAACTAAGTGTATGAAATAGTCTAAATTCAATTGTTGTCAAGTCAACAGTCTTAACATCTTCCTAGGAGAAGATTCCAACTAAATAAACCATTTTTTTTATCATCCATAAGAAGCAATTCCTCATTCATTAAATTTTATCATGATATTACATCAATTCGATCACATCTTCAGGTTCCATTTCTAATTCTGTTGCTAATTCCACTGCATCTGTATTGACTTCATCCATTGAAGTCTTGAACCCTTCAAAGTCATCCATGAGATTTGGAATCAACTTCTTCCAAATTCTTGTTAATTTTGATATTTTGACCTCTTCCGATGATTCATAAATGTTTTTAACATCATTTGAATGGTGAATCCTTTCCAAAAGATTTTTACTCCTTTGCCCAGATCCATCAGAGGAATCACTATCTATGGCAGCTATAGCCTTACCAAATGTCTTTCTTAAATAATAAAACTTCAAATTTGAAACTACTTCTTGATCCAAGGGCTGCAGAAGGGATGCTGTGTTAGTAGGCATGAAAACAACATTAATTTCATTGTCCATCTCCAACAGAATTTGAGAGTGACCAAGTGCATCATCAATGAGCAACATTATTTTGAAACATATATATATATTTTCTGAGCAGTTGATTTCAACAATGAGCTTAAAATATCAGTATACTATGTTGTAAACAGATGAGCTGTCTTCCAGGCTTTATTGTTCCACTTATAGAGCACAGGCAGAATATACGTAGCATAATTCTTAAGGGCTCTAGGATTTTCAGAATGGTAAATGAGGAGTGGCTTCAATTTAGTTACCAGCTGCACTAGCCTCTAGTAAATGAGTCAGATTGTCATTTGAAACTTTGAAGCCATGCACTGACTTCTCCTCTCTAACTATAAAATCCTAGATGGTATTTTCTTCCAGTATAAGGCTATTTTGTCTATAATGAAAATCTGTTGTTTAGTGTAGTCACCTTCATTCACTATCACAGCTAGATCTTCTGGATACCTTGCTGCACCTTCTACATCAGCACTTGCTGCTTCACCTTGCACTTCTATGTTATTGAGATGGCTTTTTTTCTTAAACCCCATAAATCAACCTCTGCCAGTTTTAAACTTTATGTTGTTTTCTGCAGGTTCCTCACTTCTCTCATCCTTCATGGAACTGATGAGAGTTAGGGCCTTGTTCTGGATTAGGCTTTGGTTTAAAGAAACATTGTGGCTGGTTTGATCTATCCACACCACTCAAACTTTCTCCACATCAGCATTAAGACTGTTTGGCTTTCTTATTATTCATGTGTTAACTGGAGTAGTGGTTTTGGTTTCCTTTAAGAACTTTTTCTTTGCATTCACAACTGGCTGCTTGCCACAAGAGGCCTAGCTTTCAGCCTGTCTTGACTTTTGACATGCCTTCCTCAGTAAGCTTAATTTCTAGCTTTTGATTTAAGCTGAGAGACATATGACTCTTCCTTTCACTTGGACACTTAGAGGACATTGTTAAAGTTACTGATCAGCCTAATTTCAATATGTTGTGTCTCAGGGAATAGGGAGGCCAGAGGAGAAGGGAGCAAGATGGGAAATGGCCAGTAGTCAGAACGCATACATTTATTGGCTAAGTTTGCCATCTTATGTGGGTATGGTTCCTGGCACCCCAAAACAATTACAACAGTAACATCAAAGATCACTGAACACAAATCACCATGACAAATATAATAATAAAAAAGGGGAAGGGGAAGGGGGAGGGGAAGGGGAAGGAATAAATTAGGAGAATGGAATTAACAGACACATACCACTATGTATAAATAGATAAACAAGGATTTTGTGTATAGCACAGAAAACTATACTCAGTATCTTGTGATAACCTAAAATGGAAAAAAACCTGAAAAAGAATATATATATATGTAAAATACACACCTGAAACTAGCACAATATTGCAAATCAACTATAGTTCAATATAGGTAAATAAATACATATGAATAAATAAACAAGAAGTAGGTCAATTTTTTTAAAGGTTTGAAATATTGCAAGAATTACCAAAATGTGACACAGAATCATGAAGTGAGAAAATGCTGTTGGAAAAATTGCACCAATATACTTGCTTGATGCAGGATTGCCACACATCTTCAATTTGTAAAAAATGCAATATCTGTGAAAAAAAAGTGCAATAAAGTGAAACACAATCAAACAGCATATGCCTGTATGTAAAATGTCCACACATATTTAAGGAGTTCTCTGTCTTGGCACTTGCAGCTCAAACTTCTGTACCTCTTTTTTACCTTTGATCTGCATGTTTATAACAATTAAAAATAGACCCCATAACTACACCTCCAAGTTGACACTCACATTTTTTGGTCACCCATTCTGTGTGAAGCACTCTGCTAGAATCATTCCATGTGTTCATCTTAACAGTAATCTTAGCTATATGTATGTTTATGGTAAATTTAAATGCATAGGAAGTTTCCAAGAAATTGAGTGACTTTCCCAGGTCACACACTTAGTAAAAACAGGCAGTTCTTATACATGTAATAATGTAATATAAGTGAAATTTAATGAGAAGTTTGTTGCATTTTATGCTTTATTAAATAAGTATGCATGTATAGTATAGCATATTGAATTTATTTAATTCATAGGCATAATGTATTGCAGAAATTCTAAACTGTCATGAAGCAGAGGCTACTTAGGCTATATTTAAGACAGGTCAAATTTTTTTATCCAAAGGTAAACTTTCTACTTCCAGGTATAATTATTTAGTGTCAGCAATAAATCAAAATTAGAAAAAAATTAAACTGATTATGACAATTCAAGCAAGTAAATCAAATGTTTCTTTATTTAAAAAAACATGCTATCCAAATTTTTATCTCATCAGTGCAAATGGGATATAAAATACAGTTTACAAAACTATAAGCCATCAGGTAGCTATCAATGAAAATAAAATGGAAAAAAAACACTTTGTTCTTCATTTTTCCTAACTGAAGATAAAATAAAAATATGGAATTAAAAAAGTAGTTTTAGTCACTGTCATATTACCATCCAGAGTCCACAGTTCAGCTGTCAAACCTCCACAAAATTTGAAAACATAATTTCAACACAAAACAAATTAGTTAAGCTGCATGTTACTTAAATTTTCCTCATAAATTCAAAGATATTTATTGAGCTAAAATTATAGAAATAAGAAATGAAAATCAGAATTAAGTCAGAATAGTAAAATCAGAAAAATCTAAAATGAAGAATTCTAGATACGTCCTTCTTTCGAAGCCCACTTGAAAGATTCTCAACTTATGGGGAAAGAAAAGCTTTGACCTAGAAAAAGATGGCTGAGTAATGCAGTCCAATGTTTTTAAAAAGTGAGTTTTTAAAATGTTTATGAACTAACTCAGCACCTCATATATGTACTTATTTTCTCTCAAAGATACAAGAACAAGCATGTATTTTATTCCTGTATGATTGTATTAATAATTTTCAGATTTCCCTCAGAGCATTTTAAAATATAAGTACATGGTAATACCACTACTTCATATATATACAGTAACTAGCACCTGTAATGGATTGCATTAACATCATCAAGACCAGCAAATTATAGACTCAACACAGTGAAGAATACATTTTTTAGAATAAATAAGCTTTAAGCTTATAGAACCCTGAAGATGGCAGCCTTTTCCCATTTTAATGTTCTCAC